ACCCTGACCCTCGTTTTCCAACTGACTATTGTCAGAGGTGACGGCAGAAGGCAAAGCATTTTGCATGTGGGTTTTCTTATCTTTCTCATCTTTTCTCATCCCCACCGACTTAACTCCCATTGGAAAAGCCCCCAGAGGAATAAACTCTATATTCCAGGGTGCAAATAAACCTAAAATATAGACTATTATTGCGGTTGATTTGGGAAGGTCGTAGATTTTCCTCCCTTTTACATGCTTCCTTGGCTTTATCCAAGCGATGTCCTAGTGCACCCCTGCAAGTGAATAAAAGCCATTTTAACTGTGTAAGGCAGGTCACAACTCTTTCCCTTCTAGCAGCAATGACAGAAAACCATTAGGATAAAGCTAGATTGTAGCTTCTGTGCTGAAATCAAATATTCAGAAGGCAAAACATTTAGCACGCTACCCTTGGACCTCTGAGACCATGTTTTAAGTTTGAGGCCAAGTTCAGGTCCCTGTTAAAATGAACTTTCTGATCTTGGTTCAGTCCCCAGTGATTACTTGTCCACACTGAAAAACTAAACGTTAAACCTGACTTTTTTTTTTTTTAAACAAAAAAAGGCCTGGCGTGTCATGTTAAAAGATACGTTTCCTCCTGTAAAAACATATTCCTGTTCAATATTTATGGTACGACCAGAAGGGCCTTGTTGAAATGCTATGAAAGGGAGAAAGCTAAAGCTCATGGTGGTAGAAGAGAGAGAGAAAAATAGTATTTAAAAAAAAATAATTTTGAAGATATGAAAAACATGTTTTTTAAAACATGAGCCAAACTCAAGTGTTTTAACAGGCCAAACAGAGCAATGAACTTGGTAATTTTAGCCAACCTATGTGTTAAAACATAAGGCCGTAATTCCACGTGATTTCTATTTTGCTTGTTTTCAAGATTGAAACAAGTGGGTTGCAGATTGACACTGAGATGGAGCAAGCCCCAAAGCGCCCCACCCACTGCACCTGCCTGTGGGCCCATACTGGCTTATTTTTCTGCAAACATGTAATTTTTTTTAATTGAACACCAACGTCTCCTAAATATGGTACCTATAGAAGTTAGCATGTTATTTAGTTGATAGACAAACTCAAGGAAAAGATAACCTCGCTTGCAAATAGTCCTCTTGGCGTTACTCTACAACGAGCTTGCTCAGGTGTCCCTACTCTGTGCTCACCACTCTATGGGTGTCATGCCATTTTCTCCTCACAGAAACCCCCGAGAGTTGGTGATGGGAGTCTTCCCCCTTTCGCAAGGGACAGTGGAAGCTTGATGCTCTCCAGGACACAGCAGAGCTAGGATTTAATGCCAGGTTTATCTAAATCTGAAGTACGTACTGCCTGAGCTGTTGTCTCTTGTTAAGATGCTACTTTTTATATTGTATACAAATGCCTTGAGCATGGTTGCATATTCCAGACCCCCCGTATATATGAAATATACATCTATACATATGTATAATTCTGAATATACCAGGCTGTCTCAACTCTGCTACTCTCCACCGGACAGGCTTCGAGGTGCTGCAAGCTCACACTGCCAGACACGCTGTCCAGCTTTAGCTCTTCTCCACCCACGATACTCTGCATTCCAGCCAAATCTAACCACGCATCTCTGTGATCGGAACATGGTTCCCCTTACTCCATCCGGCCTTGGCTTGGATGTCCTGGCAACAGAATCCAACCTGCAAACTCTTCTCTGCAGAAAAATCACTTTATGTTTCTCGAGTCAACTTAATTTCTCTCTCTACTGGCATTGAGGGAAGTTCGTGGACATCAAGCAGGAATGTCTCCCATACTTTGCAGGGCCTGGAGCACAATGAAAATACAAACTCCTTGTTAAAAAATTAAGCATTTCAAAATGACGACAGCTGAGTATTAAACCAAGCACTATCCCCTTTTGAGTAACGTCCTGTGCTACAGCGGAGCTCACACATCTGTGAAACCAGCCCTAGAGTGAATTGCAAACCCCTTTATCCCTGTGGTTCTAAATTCTGGGGGGGATGGGGGCTTACATAGGACCCGTTGGGGTAGGAGGTATCTAGTCCATGCTGTGCGCTGTCCATGCTGCTATCTGCTGGAAAGCCTATCTCCCCGCCCCTCTGTCATTAGTCCAAGCAGGTGGCCTCATTGTCATTCATGAGGCCCTTCTTCCTTGTGCCACTGTCACTCTAGAGCCCAAGGGGAGAGCAGGGAGTTGGCCTCAAACACGCACACATCCAGGCTCTCCAACCCACTGATCTATCTAAGGGTATCACCCCTGTTTAGAACTTGGCTTTGTGGGTGTGTTGTAGGGAATCCCCAGTAGCTATGCACACTCTATCTCCGCCTGATCCCCAGCATGGGGCACCCTGCCCGTTGCACCTCCAGGTCCAAGCTATCACACCAGAGAAGTTAGGAGAGGATTCCATTCTCTCCCCAGCCTGCTTTTGTCATGCACTGAAGTCAGGACTATCCAGCAGGACTTCCCAATGGAGGAGCCGTTGTGAAGTCAGGGTGGGAAGGGGAGGTGTGAGGAAAACACTGGGAGGGAACGAAATGGCTGTTACTTTAAATACATTATCCAGCCACATGTATTATATCTCCAGGGCTGTCAAGAATATGTGTGTATGGGAGTCCCCCCGTGGGCAGTGAATGCTCCACGTCCTTCACTACCCTATGCCACTTTCAGAAACAACTTTTATCCCCTTAAATAACCCCTTTAGTGTTTCTAAAAATTAAAGTACACACACACACACAAGCCAGGGAGATTGCAGAGCCCTTGTCTTACCCATGATCCCCTCCCATTTCTGGAAGCAGGCAACGCATTTTGTCTTGATGTAATTTCCATCTACAGGTCTTCAGGTGGCGTGGGGTTTCATGGAACCAATCGTATCATTTCTACCAAGTGGCGAGAAGGCTTCCAAACGTGAGTCACTTCTGCAGTTATCATGGTTACCTTTACGTCCCCGTTCTCTTCTAGACCATTCTCCTTACCCCAAACACACAGATTCAGACCTCTCTCTCTCCCTCTCTCCCTCTCTCACGCCCTCCCTCTCTCTCTCTCCCCTTCTCTCTCTCTCTCTCTCTCTCTCTCTCTCTCCCTCCCTCTCTGTCTCTCTCTGTCTCTCTGTCTCTCTCTCTGTCTCTCCCTCTCTCACTCTCTCTCCCCTTCTCTCTTTCCGCCCCCATCTTTACTTCCTCTCTTGTTTAGCATAAAATTTACCAACCCCTCAGCCCTTAAATAATAATTTGGTATATTTTATTAATACATTAATATTATATATAGTGGACCTGTACTAATACTTATTAATTTTTATAACACCAACTCATGTTGGTTACTAATATGAGTCTACCACGATAAAAATAGGAACAACAAAAGCTAACACTTGCACAGTGTTTCTTATGTATGTACCCATTATTTTAAAGATTTTATGCGTATGAATCCATTTTCACGAATTACTTTGTGGTGCATGTTATAAGGGCCTTCTGTGATCTTGTGGGCATGCTGCACTGTGATTTGACAAGAAGGGCGGTCACATCCACGGAGCCACTGTCGCCACGCTCTTCCGGGGCCCTGCATCCTTGGGGTTCTAACGTCTTACCGAAACAGGCACCGGGTCCCACAATGTCCCAGCGTCCCTTTTCCAACACTGGCATTCACCAATGGAAAGTTTCCTTTACGTGTAGCCTTTTTTAATAACAATTTATCCAATGCACAGCCAAGAAATTGTGCTAAAAATACCTATCCAATTATTTCAACGTGCAGTTTCCTAAATGGAAGCTGGGGTGGGGGGTGGGGGGTGGCGCGGGAAAGGGAACGCGGGTGGGCGGCAAATGTCAGACACACACGAGGGAAGAAGCTAAAACCCGAGTTGTGCCAGCTCGCCTCTGAAAACGGCCCCAGGAGAGCAGAACCCCTGGAGCTGGTGTGCTCCCGGCCCCAGGATCGCCGCTGCCCCTCCTCACCCACAGAGCACCTTAATGGAGGCTTGTTAGTGCATCAGACTCGGCTTCCTATCTGCGCCTTGCTCTGAGCTGCGGGCGCACCGCAGGCATCCCTCCACGGAGTCGACATGAAAATGAATTTCCCTACCGTGATGAGCTTGGTGCTTGATGGGGAGCTGTATGTGGGCCGTAAAGGGCTCTCTTCGGGGTGGCAGAGGGAACCCGGACGTCTGTCTTAATACCACACTGTGAACCCGATTGGTAAGAGGGGCCCTGTTTTGCAAAGTGGCTACATGAACATCTGGGTTCCTCCTGAAAAATTGTCACACAGAAATCTGCTGAAGAGATGATGGGGGGTTTCAATCATGCGTTGGTTTGAAAATAGTCCCTGAGACCAGACCCCTAACAAGAATCTG